TGAAATATCTTGTAAACCCCTGTTGCCACACTTTGCTTAATTTTGTATGGAGTTCAAGGTTTAAAAATTGCGCAAAATGTGTCGATGGTCTTAGCTTGTTTTGCGTCACGAGCTGTCATTTTCGATCAATGGCGTTTTAGTACAGCTCATTGCTGTTCCCAAATCCCACCCGAATTTCCCAGGCAGCCTTTTTCCCAGCAGCGCTGCATGACTTACTGCATGATCACAACTCGAGATAAGCTTCCTCACAACACAGCAAGCCAGGCTTTATATGGATTTATTTCGCTCGAAACTCTGAAAAAGTACTGAAGGATAGTTATTTGTTGCAGCTTTACGTGAATGTTTCTTTCCAGGTAGCTGACAAGATTGCAGTTAGCAACATGAAATTGTCATGAAGAGACAGATATACGACATGACTTCATTCGAGGGCTAGATAAATCAGCCCAAAACTCCCCCTTCATCATACTATCGTTGTCCGTAAGCTCCTTACACCAGCCATGGTCCCTGGAGCAGCGTTCATGACCGTGGGATATGTAAATAGCCCGTCATGCTGCCAGCTCATCGCATACAGCCGTCGGCATTCATACGGCCATCTGTGAGCTGATATCCATGTGCCTATCACGCAGCTCCACCCTTCCTGGTGGTCCCTAACTGATGTCCCCCCCCCCTCCAAACCGCACTCCGCCCCTGACCTCAATACCCAGACTGGGATCATTGCGGTATGGCAATGGCATTCTGTGCAACACTGAAAATTGCAGTGCGCTATGGTTCTGAACGTGTCTGTCATGTGACTCGTGCGATTCTGGTCAGCCGTGTGTGGTACAGCGCTGAGCCGTGTGAACGCCGCCGTTCCGCTTCCCTGCCTCATGTAGGTCGCTGTGAACCAATGCATACAGACCAGCCTCGCTCTGACCAACGCAAACGCAATGCCTGCAATATTCCAGCAACGCCACCCCTACGCAACTCAGCCTCGCCCAGCGGCGAGCACCGCGCAATGTCGAGTCGGTCGGTTACAAAAAAATACACGATTGCGTTCGACAGTTTTACGGTCCAAGTGAGGAGTGGGCTCCAAGCACGCGCCACGACGTCTTTACATGGGGTGTTGCTCAGTTGCGCTCGTATATGGTCTGAGACGTGAGACAAATGGGACAGATCCAGAGACGACCGAGAAACGAATATGGAGAAACGAACGAACGCGTTTAGTTCGATCGAAATGCAGCGAGATTTTAGACCAGTAAGGCGCTAGGGGACCCAATTAAGATCGTCGAGCTCTGAGAGACTCTTAAAACAGCTCAGCGAAGTCCGTTGATCTCAGAGACTCGGCCGAGCCTCTCCGAGACCCAGCGAGCGGTACCTAATGACAGGCGTCGTCTGGAGAGGCGTCGGTCGTCGACACAACTTACGGCCCGTAAGCTACGGCGACTTACGACGGCTGATCCTCTGAAATGGGGACTGGACCGGCGCGTAGTGCGGCGGTAAAGCCGTCAAGAGACGCTGGCGACTGATGTGTGTCCGCTGGACGCGGGATACTGATGTTTGCCAGCGGACACGGACACTGGTGTGTGTCCGCTGGCATGGGACACTGATGTAACCATGTCCGCGAGTTACGGGACACTGAACCAGTCTGCATCCTAGTAGGTATTCTTTCAGCGTCATTCATCGTCTATCTGCGAAGTGATGGACTGCGCTATAAAGCCAGTATCGAGGATACCCAAAAACAAACGAATTACCGCATCCTTATCGTACTGTAACCTATACCGGTACGAATGAATGACACGCTATGAATGTATCGAAGGTCAATCTCCTAAAGTGACGGCAATAGACCAGTTAAGAGGGAGCACAGCCTTGCGGGGACCCTCCAGTTTTGATAAGATCCGAAGTGGTTTGATTGGAAGGGTCTGTCGGGCCTTGAACGCTTTTAATCGAAAGATCGCTCCAGATGTGATGAATACCTACATACAGAACGCGTTACGCGACTGAAATGGAAATTGTCGGGTTAAGTGATGGCCATTAGTGGTTTCGCGAGGGAATCGTCCACGATGGCTGGAAGAGTACCGTGACAGGTGTGCTCGGTCTTTTAGCGAATAATTACAGATATCAGATGAGAGGGAGAATTCGTATGCCACCCTGCGCAAAATGCTTTGGCTAGTTTGCTTTATCAAAACGATTGAGATCGCTTTTACCAAGGGCATCCTAAAGAACTTTACCCATATGCTCGTCTCAGCCAGTTGTGGATCACCTTTGCAGAACTCGTCCGGATTAACCATGAATCACTCTGAGGTTATTTCAATCATTACAGCCCCGTATAACCCCGTGCCGAGGCGGGTGGTCTTGTTACTGGGTGTCCGCTCGGCTCTGTTCGGCAGCTCGGCAGCTCGATGGCGACCTTGGCTGCCAGGTAGGAGCGGCCGAGGGCCGTCGGCCCAGCTCGGTAGACGGGCCACCCAATGGCTCCTTTGCGTGCCCTCTGCCATCAGCGAGCTGGGGCCAGCACGGCTCTCCGAGTCTGTCCAGGCTCTAGCCACGCCACACCGGGATTTCAGCGTGGTGGGGAGTCCGCACCGCTTCATCAGACTCGAGTAGAACCGTATACAACGTAATTATAAACAGATTCACATCCTTGAACAACGACAGATCAAGGTTCAGAATCAAAACAAAGGTAGCTTCGAGTTCGACTTATAACTCAGGTGCTTCCCCGACTGCACAGCTGCCTCGGGTTAAAATCTCCAATTGGTCTCCCTATGTACATTCATCACCGACCGACCATACATACCGACCATACCGACCACCGACCATAATGTAGAGAGGCCTCTGGTGGTCGTAAATCAATCGTTATAACTTACGTCGTATATCAGTACTGGTTTGTGTAACGAGCATTCAGCATTGCATCTTTTTATGTGTGACTTTACCCCGGCTAGGATTCCGTGGATCGCTTACGTTGAAAGTTGGGGCCTGGGGGGGGGGAGGTAGCACGAGACACACACCTGGGCTGCAGATGATATTGGAGTGGCTGCATTGTTACCGACAGTCCCGAGGATCCACCCTCTCCGATCCACCAGGTAGGTCTCTCTTTATGGCGAGACTCTGCACCGCCGAGAGAGGCGCATTATAGGCTGGGTGTCGGCTTCAGGACGATAATTGAGCTGTTTGAAAGTCAAGAGCACCGCTTAGACCCGCTGCACCTATTCAGCAGTATCCATTGATGGATGGTGCAGTCCCGAGGTTTCGGCCGACGCCCTGCCCTCATCCTCTATCCCTCCCATCGCTCTACCCAGCCACGATCTCTCGGGGGAGGCCATTCATATTACTCCGATGGGACATGACACAGATTCCTGAGCCGTGTTTAAACACCGCTGGATTAATGTTTATCAACATTCGCAGCCACGTGCGCCTCGGGCCTACCGAGATCGTCTGGGCCGTGCCACGATCGTCTGGGATGCGTCAGGATAACCGCAGACGCTCCACGATGGTATCCCACGCACATCAATTGTCTTGCTCCGTGACAATGACAAAGTCTCGATGGGGGAATGACAGTAACTCTCCAAAAGGTAGCCGATAGATAAAAGATATTGCTAGCTTTGGGTGCCGATATCGCATCTGTCTATGCTCCGTCTATCGTGTTTGCTGTGTCCGTACTCCGTATGTCCTGTCGTATCCGTCTATAGGTACCTAATGTCCGTCTATCGAGTTCGCCTCTCGTGTCCGTCTATCGCGTACGTCTATAGTATATCGTTTTCTTCGACACGGCACAGGACCTTTACTTACCTTCTTACGTATCGGTTCGCCACGTCCGTCTGTCCGTCTGTGTCTGTCTGTCCGTCTGTACGTCTGTCCGTCTGTCGTCTGTCTGTCTGTCTGTCTGTCTGTCTGTCCGTCTGTCCGTCTGTCCATCTGTCCATCTGTCCGTCTGTCTGTCTGTCTGTCTGTCTGTCCGTCTGTCTATCTGTTCTGAGGACGTCACTGCGGCTGCGGGGTTTGTCCCGCAGTACCCCGCGGCCGCGGTGCCCGCTGTCAGGCCGGCCGGAAGCAGCCTGACAACACGTTCAACCACATCCCGACTTACAGGCACGGGCGAGGGAGCAGGAGCGGACGAGAACGACGGAGGGAGAACTAGCGAGACAATGTTTTGTTTGTTTGTTTGTTTTGTTTTGTTGGGTTAGGCCCTTTCGGTCCAATGAGACCATTTCAGAGCCGGAAGGATGATAGGAATTAGGGGGAGACATTGGTCTGGGCAGGCACCCTAGTGAGTCACCGGGGCTGAGCCCATCCCGAAGGACAGGCCGACCAGCCCCAAGGTACTCACTGCACCCGGCTACGGGGTGCGCTCCCTCGGGAGCAGCGGTGCCGCTCCAAGGGAGCAGCCCGCATGAGATAAAGTTGCCTGTCCAGCCCGGAGGGGGGTTGCGGCGTGGAGGAGAAGGACTTCAGTATCCTGAGGATAGAAGCACGGAACGGTGAGCGAGACAATGTAACAATTCGGAATACGGTAGATAGAACGACGGAGTAGTGTGCACGCACAGCAAAGGTAACGAACCAACCAATATGCAGCATTCTGATGAAACGGACTGAGGCGGGAGCCTAGCTGTGGAAGAGAGGAAAAGTCGACTGAAAATAAAACAAGAAATGTCGATAAGGCTTGTTCGATAAGTCGTCAGAGTTTACGTACGAGTATAGCCTCTTTCGTTCCTCTATTTTTCTTTGGTCTGCCTCGCTGGATCCTATCCTGAACCGAAGTTTGAGACGACCTTTATTGGACGTACCGAGCAGATTGAACATCATTCACCGGCATCCAACGTGTTGTGTCGGCGGTCCAATACGACGACTGTCCTTGGCTCCACATCGAAGTTTGGACAAGCAATTTCCGACTCCGGCATCCGTCCGGCCGGCCGAGCGCTGCCCGTCGCTCCGTCCGGCTCTATGTCCGAGACTGTACGGGCGCCGACAGAGACTGTACGGGTCGCGGCGGCCGCTGCCAGCTGGCCGCTCGCCGGCCGCCGCGCGGCAGTCACAGCAGAAGTCGGCGAGGGGGTGCCGCGTCGCGTGCCGTCCGCAGCTTTCGCGGCGCGTCGCACGTGCCACCCACACCTGTGTACATAGGCTGGTGGCCGGTGTCGGACGACAAAGCTGCTTGATACGATCGGTTGCAGTGTGACGCGTGTGGTTGGGACTGGGGAGGTACGAACTCACAGTGGTGTGTAGTAGGCCAGATGGGGCTGCCTGAGCTGAAGAGCATCAGAAGGTTCGGCCTGGGACGGCGCAGCCTCAAGGAGCAGCCAGAGCGAAGGTAGGTGCTTGGTGTCCGCACCATTGCCGCCTCCCCTCCCCTCCCCGATCTGGCCTGGCGCCACGCTGGTATGCGTTGGCCCAGCTGCCCCTCCCCCACCGAAGGATCGAAGTGCGCAGCCGGTCGGTCCCCCATTTACCCTCCCGTCCCCATCCCGTCAAACAAACGTCAAGCTCAGTTTCCAATGGTGTTCGGGTGCTCTTCATGTCCTCGGCCAGTACCGCCCATTCTACCAGTCGAACTACATCTTCTCTCTTCTCCCCTGTCTCCTCAGTCTCCCCATGTCTCTCTTGCGTCTCTCCCGACCTCCCTGCGTCACCCATTGTCATGCCGATCGGCCATTATGATTAGACCTCCCTCTCCAGCGTTTCTCGCCCATTAGCGCGGACCACACAGGTCCATCGCATCTTCCTTCGCCACAACTACAACCACTACTAGCCACATACCTACGTCAGGAAAACGACCACGAAAACCTCCGCCACGCCGCTGCCGTCGCCGCCGCTGGTCTAGCCAGCTCTAGTTTTTGCCTGGTCTCTCCGCCGCCGGCAGGGGTTGTGTCCACGTAATGGCTCACCGGGCGCGGTGAATGAAGGGACTGACCGCCCGGAGTGGTCGAGGACAGGATGACTCCGGGGTCAGGCGGCTGATGGGGCTGGACGCGGGGCTCCACCCGGTTGTTAGACGAGGAATGAAGGTGGGTGTGTGTGTGACTGGAGCACGGGGTGGGATGATGATTGGGGCTATGGTGACAGTGACGGTGACGGTTGATGTGACGGTGGTCAGTGGTGATAGAATTGATATTTGTCACCGTGATTGTCCAGTCTCCGTTACGATGATGACGACGATTTTCTAAACCTTACGACATCGTCACTCGTCAGACGGCGGATCAACGACCCTCGTTCCAGGTGGTGGCCTCTCCGCCTTTCACCGGTAATCGATAAGTATATGACGCATCCAAGTTTTTTGAAGAGGCCATCGCAACATCGACCATGGAACTTCGCATTCGCCCTACTCCTACCCGCATCTTTTCTTCGGAACTTCCTCCACATTTGGTTTATCACAACTGGATAACCCTGTAATTGAAGCGTTTGAATTGCAGATTGGAGGCTGCATCATGCTACCTTGTAGTGTCGCAGCGATTCCCATGTGTCTGGGGGAGCGCCCGTGGGGCCCTCGAACTGCCAGTTCGTAGTAGCTGTCAGCCGGCGGTGACGCAGTTGCAGCTCGGTGTCAGTCGCGGCACGCCGGGCCGATCTAGCGGCCCGCTCAGTCGCACTCGCCGCGGCGTCCACCGCACCCCGGCGAGTTTATTTTCTTTGGGCGCGCTCGGCGCCGGCGGAGGTATTTTTCGTCGGCCTCGGCGGCTATATGTCTCAGTGGATTACCGCCGCGGACTCGGTCAGATCGGTCAGATTGGTGAGATTGGTCAGTCGGACCGACTGTAACGGCCAAGGACCCCGGTCCACGAGTTCGGACGGGTATCACCCGCTCCGGCGAAGGTCAACCACTGCTCGCTTGAGGTGACAACCACTACCCGCTGGAGGTGACACTTGGAGCTGCGAGTCTCTCTCCCTCGCGTACGTACTCACCTAGAGAAAGAGGGGCGGTATTTTGGGCGTGGCACTCGTCCCGCCACCGTCTGAGGCACGGCCAATCTGTCTGCAGGTCGCAGCGGAAGCCCACGTCATTCGCTCTGACGAACGGGAAGACGCCGAGACATAGCCAGTACACTGTGGTACACGGGACTGGGGACAGTCAGGGCAGACGGGAGACAGTGTACGCCAGTCCCGGAGACGTGGTATACGGGACAGTTAGGGAATTTGTGCGCGGGACGACGTCCGGTGGGGAGAGATACTGACGGTCCGCTCTGTTTGGCGCGAGATAAGGAGGCCTTGTGCTCCAAACCGACCAGCTGGTGTCACCTAGGGCGGAGATTTAACGCCGAGTTACCCGGAACGGCAGGGGCAGGCGTGCACCGTGAGCAGCGCCACCGGGAATGTGGCGTCAGCTGATTGATGCGTGTGCTGCTTTTGAACAGTTGCGTACGGTACATATCGTTCACATTAAAAATTAACCAATGTTTCAAATTCTATTATTATAAATTGACACTTTATATTATTACATTGTGTCAAAATATAATCATTATAATGTGTTATTCAATGTATAATCAAGTAGCTATCAAAAGGCTTAAATTATAAATTGAGTCTTTACCAGTAAATAGAAATAGCATATTCTCCGCGTAGTAGGGCATAGGCGTATTTGTGAGAAAATGGATAGAATTGAATTTAGCAGAGTCGCTTTCCTGGTTGATCTAATTTTGGCATCGCTTCTTATTTTACATCCGCAACTATATATCCCTGATGCCGAATATCCAGCGGCAGGCATAGACACAACACTTACGGCAGGGACTTTGATGCAAAACCGCTTCTGTAAATAAAATAACTCTGAAATGGTGCTGGTTGTCCACCTATTATCTCCAGTGTAAATGAAGGCCGAGAGAACGCGCTTTCTGAAAGTTTTAATTATATGACATCCCGGCGTACTGTACGTCGTCGTGAGCGACGTTTCACGGCCGCTGCTAGCACCCTCCCACCACACGCAGCGAAATCGGTTTCCACCATTAGAGTTCAGTGGTTTCCACATACATTTAAGATCTCGGACGCTCCAATATTGAATGACGTTAGCTGGTCTCTAAACCCAATGCAGTGACTTGTCTCAGACTTAACCTGACATCGACGTGACTTGTTGACCTACTGATGGAGAATGCACCAAAAAAATCTGTCTCGACCATCCATTCGGAAGTTTGATGAGGAGCCAAAAATCTGCATCCCTCCCAGCGATTCGTATATTCATCTCAATGCTTCAAGAAGTCCGGGTTAAAAATATGCGCACAAAACACACATTAACGACTTTAAAACGGAAACAAGCTTCACCACTCACACGCAAAACTGAGGCGAAACTTGAGCTGTCATTAATTGTATAAATGATAATGTGAATTTACCACGAGCACAGAGTAGTAACCAACAGCGCAGAACCAACATGCTCGGTCCGAACTCAGCTCTGCAAATATCAGTTCTCACCGCGCCAAACAGTCTCACAAACGGCAAATAACCGAGGTTACCACGATCACGAATGTGAATGATCATTGATCACCAATACCATAAAAGTCTTGCGGCACGCCGCCGCCGGCTCCCGCCACAGCCAGCGCAGGGGCGCAGCACACAAAGCGAGGCCACGCTAAAGTCTTGCGGCACGCCGCCGCCGGCTCCCGCCACAGCCAGCGCAGCGGCGCAGCACACAAAGCGAGGCCACGCTAAAGTCTTGCGGCACGCCACTGCCGGCTCCAACCACAGCCAGCACAGCGGCGCAGCACACAAAGCGAGACCACGCTAAAGTCTTGCGGCACGCCACCGCCGGCTCCAACCACAGCCAGCGCAGCGGCGCAGCACACAAAGCGAGGCCACGCTAAAGTCTTGCGGCACGCCGCCGCCGGCTCCCGCCACAGTCAGCGCAGCGGCGCAGCACACAAAGCGAGGCCACGCTAAAGTCTTGCGGCACGCCGCCGCCGGCTCCCGCCACAGCCAGCGCAGCGGCGCAGCACACAAAGCGAGGCCACGCTAAAGTCTTGCGGCACGCCGCCGCCGGCTCCCGCCACAGCCAGCACAGCGGCGCAGCACACAAAGCGAGACCACGCTAAAGTCTTGCGGCACGCCGCCGCCGGCTCCAACCACAGCCAGCACAGCGGCGCAGCACACAAAGCGAGGCCACGCTAAAGTCTTGCGGCACGCCGCCGCCGGCTCCCGCCACAGTCAGCGCAGCGGCGCAGCACACAAAGCGAGGCCACGCTAAAGTCTTGCGGCACGCCGCCGCCGGCTCCCGCCACAGCCAGCGCAGCGGCGCAGCACACAAAGCGAGGCCACGCTAAAGTCTTGCGGCACGCCGCCGCCGGCTCCCGCCACAGCCAGCACAGCGGCGCAGCACACAAAGCGAGACCACGCTAAAGTCTTGCGGCACGCCGCCGCCGGCTCCAACCACAGCCAGCACAGCGGCGCAGCACACAAAGCGAGGCCACGCTAAAGTCTTGCGGCACGCCGCCGCCGGCTCCCGCCACAGCCAGCGCAGCAGCGCAGCACACAAAGCGAGGCCACGCTAAAGTCTTGCGGCACGCCGCCGCCGGCTCCCGCCACAGCCAGCACAGCGGCGCAGCACACAAAGCGAGGCCACGCTAAAGTCTTGCGGCACGCCGCCGCCGGCTCCCGCCACAGCCAGCGCAGCAGCGCAGCACACAAAGCGAGGCCACGCTTAAGTCTTGCGGCACGCCGCCGCCGGCTCCCGCCACAGCCAGCGCAGCACACAAAGCGAGGCCACGCTGAAGTCTTGTGGCACGCCGCCGCCGGCTTCCGCCACAGCCGGCGCGGCACACAAAGCAGGGCCACGCTGAAGTCTAATCACCAGGATGCACGTACAGGCGCGCACGCTTGGCCTCCCGGCTGCAGGTAGGCTGCTCCTTTCGGAGACGTTCTCTGTCGCCGATGAGGCGCCGGATCTCACGTACCCGCAGCTGCGTCCTAGTCATAGCGTACTTCCTCAGTACGTATGGATGCAGCTGCGGGAACTTCAGCGCAGCAGCCTCGGCAAGTCGCCTAACGACGCCGGGGCCGCGGTCGACATCTCCTCCGTGCATCGTGGTGAACAGCACCTCCAGCTGCTCAACCTCATCGAGCCACCGCGCGCTGGGCACCGTGAGGCCGCCGCGGCTGAGGGTGTCAATCCAGGCGTAGCGCTCGTCACGGGGTACCTCGCTGGCATCGGACGTGATCTTGCCGAGCGTGCTGTCCACTGTGGCGCACTTAGCGGCCACGTACCCCGCGACGTACGCCAGCGCCTGCCTGGAGAGACTGGCGACACCGGTTGCTCCAGAAGGAAGGCTTGCAGGTGGCGGGGCGGCGCCGGCGCTGGCTGCGGGTCCCGGACACGGCTGGCGGGCGGTCACCAGGTTC